AAAGCACATTGCAAAAAGTTATGATGCCATTTCCACAAAGCTTAAAACATACAAAGTATTACCATGTGCTGTATGTGAACAGTCACATGTAACAGGATGAGGAAAACATGTGCGAGGACACATATCCACTCTACGATAGAGGATATCTCTGGGATTCAAGAGCAATGGGGTTGGAGACGAAAGGAATGTTCACTGTACCTACAATATTTTATTTCACAGAAAACAAGTTCTGTCGTTAAAATAAACAAATAACAGCTTGTCCATTTGCCAGAACCACTATGCAAGTGTTGCAATGAATGAGAGTGGTCTCTGGAGATAAAGAACTCCAGGACATATTAAGTTAAAAATCTCTTAAACTTACATACAAAATGTTGTAAAACTTGTGGAAAATGTAAATGTATATAAAAGATTGTAAAAACGTACAAAATTTCTTGAAACATCCACAAAAACTGCTTATAGCAGTTGCATCTGGGGAGAGGTAGTCTGTGGTTGGAGGAAGGATAAGTTATACTGATTTAATTATTCACCAGGTATATTATGAATTGCAATTAAGGTAAATTATGAATTCTCATTAAGCTTAGTTTTTTGAAAAAATTCATGCGTTGAAAAATGAAGACCTGACACCTCTTGTGATCTTTAGGGTGGTATTCTTTGCGTATTGAAGATTATGTAGACTTTATTGGATTTTCTTTTAATAAGACTTCATGCTGAGCCTTACTGACGAACAAGCTGACAATTAGGAAGACAATGCCACTTTGGTGAACTGTCCAGTTGAAAGATTTTTCTCATTTCCCTTAATGCCAAAAGCTATGTCTCAGACATCTTTGTCTCTCCCACTATACATAGCACAGACCTTTGTATTTGTGTGTAAGTCATACTCATAGGTTTGTGCCTTCCTTCACTTATTTATGCAATTAATTTTCTTTAAAACTAATCACATTTCACTGCAAATATAAAGCGTTTCAGGTAGTTGTACTTTATTTTATTACTTTTTAATTATCTTTTTAAATTTTGTCTTTATTTTTTATTTTTTTCATAGAAGAACTGGGGTGCAGGACAGAGGTGTGAGGGGTGAGATTATTCACCAGAGACAGAGTGGGGGGCAGAACAGGCAGATCTACCAAAATACACTGCTGAGGGGAGCAGCGGGCGAGACCGGAGAAGTCTGCTATACCATGTGAGCCACCTCCTTGGGCACGGACTAAATTCAGGGCATAGTAGTGATAAGGTTGAGACTTAACTTTTAGGCCACCGGGGAAGCCACCTCAAGTTCTTGCACTTTAAATACGCTGTTCTTGGATGCCCAGGGATATGGGGCGGCTGTTGTTACTATGGGACATGAGGCCAATATCAAATGACCAAGTTCCTTGTGAACTTCCAGGTTATGGCCTGATTAATATGCTTGTGAATACTTTAAATAAATATTTTCTTCCACAAATTGCTTTTGATAGTTGAATAATAAGGGAGTTGTTCTTAATGACAATGACAATGAAGTCATTGCCTCCTCCTATTTCAATGACCACCATTCTCTCCTGAATTGAAGCAACAGCCTCCTCACTGGACTTCCTACTTCAGTCTTTTTCCCCACCTCTAACTTAGCATTTGCATACCTAACCAAAGTGTATAACTTTCAGAAACACAAACATGATTATGCCAATCCCCATTTGAAATTCCCTTAGTGGCTTCTCATTGATCCCAAGATAAAGGCCACACTTCTTAGGATGGAAATCCAGGCACTCCATCTTTTGTGTCTACCATTTCTCTGGTCTCCTCTTCTGTCACTCCTTAGTGAATATTCTCTCTGCCTGAAACTCTTTCTACCCCTTATTGATTTGAAAGACTTCTATTCATCCTCCAAAACCTAATATATTATTAAGATTAATGACATAATACATGAAAAGAGTTTTGGAAATAATAAACCACAAACATCCAACACATATGACAGGTCCTCCAGCAGAACTTACTCTTACTACTTCCCCTCCAAACTGATCCCAACACTCTCTCTCTGTGCTATATCTATTTGCTCCAGAGTCCTGTGTTGTGTTTATCTTGTTGCAGTTCTTTGCTTTATTTATATGTCTGTCATCTCCATTACACATTGAGCTCCTACCTCATGTATTCGGCTTTCCATCCTTTCTTCAGCTTCATATCCCCAGCATTTAGAGTACTGTGTGACTCAGAGACAGGACCTGATAGTACTTTTGAACTTCATAACCAAAGAGTGACGATGATGATGGCCTGGGATACTGGGCTGTTGTCATATTTCTGCAAGTGCTCTGTTTTCTATAATGCTTATACAACATTAGAGGATGTTCACACACCTATCAAAGAACCACATGAGAGGCATCAACAGGTGCTACAGAGATGTTCCATCATCCCCAACCAGTTTTTTGGGTGCAACCTGGAATTCAGATATTTTTTGTAAAACCAAGACTCAAGAAACTTACTCAGGTGGACAGATGCAATCTGTCAACCAAGGGTGGGGAAATATCAAGGTAACTGATTGAAAAATCTGCCTCTCACAGCTTCTGCAAAAGATTTTTAATTTGATTATCCAAACCAAGCTATAACAGTTGTGCTTTTAATTAGAACATAGAATTCACTTAAAATTGACTGAAGGCATTCTGGGAAAAGGATCTGGATGTTTTCAGATTATATTTAATGACATAAAAAAGTAAAAGTTGTACTTTCAGATTTAGAAATCCAGATATCTTTGAACTTACAGAAAAATCTATCTCCAACTTCTGTGATCAGCAAAATCAGCACACTCCTTGAATATGAAATTAGCATGAAGCATGTAGATTTCTAGTTGATGAAGAATTTCCCACACATCATTTCATTTGAATCCCACAACAAACTTGAGGTCAGCAGAGCACTGGTTATAAACACCCATTCAAAGCAGAAAAAAACTGGAATTCAAGGAAAATAAGTGACACACCAAAATGGTATATAGTGAAATGTCCACATTAATTGAATGGAAAAACAAGCATGCATAAAAACAAGACCTCCACAACTCAAACCTTGTTCAATGAAAACATGAAATAAGAATGGCAGAATGCAGCTGGTCACCACATACATTTCAGGTACAAGAATATTTAATTACAACACTGAGTGGCACTCAGAGACTTTATGGACCACAAAAAACTAATGATGTAATTATTTGCTATTTAAAAGTAATTTACAGTTTATCCTCAGTGTAAAGAGTTGAGTAAACAAGGTGATATGAGAGAGCATAAAATGAGAAATATATACTATGTTAAGTGTTTGCCATTTTCCCATAAATGCTAGATACCCTAGGACTGAGAAAACAATTGTATTTTAATTGTGATTGAGAATTCTTAATATGACTAATAATGTATTTTAGATAAAAAGTTTATAACACAATACATTTCCTAGTCAGTTTGTTTCTCCCAAGAGTTTGCAAAACAAGTCAGTGCTGACTGCAGATACCCAAACTCTCAGGATGAGTCAGTGAAAACATCCCATTTGGGCTGGCTCTGCTCGCTGCTCCAGCCATCTTGGACGTCACAGCTGCTTACCCCTGGGCTTACTGTTCTCAGCATCTCAGGAGACCAGTCAAGAAGGCAGAAACTGCTAAATTAATGATTCTGCCAATTACACAGACATGGCCAAGTCCAGAGAAGTGAGGGGGGCGGTATATCTAGAAGCTTAGTTCCAGAGTCTTTAGTGTTATGGGCACATGAACTTTTCCTGCCGCCAAAGGAACATCTGAAGGAGCCAACCACCAATGCTGGTCTGAAGCATTTTGGATGAGTTCAGGAAAAAGAAAGTGGCTGCTGAATACTTGTGACATCTAGAGGCATTCAGAGAAGAGAGGTGGGTGATCACGGACAGGGGTGTGTGTAGATTGAGGTTATAACGATTTATAACCTCCTAGTTAGTCTAGTTAGCCTCTACTTCGGCTTGACACCCAACTGGAGATGCCAGTCCTGGGTAGAATTAAGGAGACCCGGGTTCTATTCCGACAGTATTGCTGAGCATCTTTGTGTATCCTGGATCTTTGTATGACTAGCTCCTCTCCAAGCAGATTCCAGCTCTTAATGTCAAATCTTTAGAAAGATTTCCCTTCCATGCTACCTAATGTTGCCACTCCAAACCCTCAGCTCTCCCTATTCCATTAGTTTGTTTTATTTTCTTTATAATTACATTTATTATTAAAATTTTTATTTGTTTGTTTGCTTTCCATGTCTTCTTTTATATTGCAAAGTTTATTAAAGTACCCCTACTGCCTAGCACATTGCCTGGAACACACCAAGTACCTAATGAGTGTTAGTTAAATGAAGAATGCATGCATGCCAAGAACAATGCACCTAACACTTCGATAGCTTTCAATTCATCATGTGTAAAATTGTGAGACACAATCTTGATTATTTCTAAGATTAGTGCAACCAGGAAAGGATAGATTTGCAAATGCTCTCAAAAAACCTCTAATAATTATCTCTAATTGTACAACTATATTTTGAAATGACAGCATGGTGAAAACAACATTGGAATATTGCAAACCTCTATTTTAATGTAGATTCTGCCACTGAACTAGTTATGAGACCTTGAACCAGGCATTGGAATGCTCCAAGCTTTGAAGACACTGTGGCAGGCAAAAATAATTGTAGTTGATATCCCTATATATGATAACGATAATATCCATTTTTCAGGACAATAGAAGATACTACCGAGGGGAGGTGAAATAAAATGCTTTTTATATAAATCACCCAACAAAATGTGTAGCATTTATTTGGTACCTTATTATTGGTAAGTGTTAATATAGTTAGGATAATATTAAAAGTTTTAACAAGCAGTACTGTACGCTGTGAAAATTTCAGTTCCCAAAAGATGGCCAGTAAGTTGTCCATAATAGAACACTAACCAAAAGCAGACAGCCAAATCCTCAGAGTTACTGAAGGGCACTGGGCATTTTCCACAGTTTGCCTCATGCTAATCTAGTTTTCTCTTCCAGGGTCTGTCTCAGAACCCACAAGAAGATGGAGGCCAGTGTTGTGAAAGTCAAGGTGGGCTGGCAGGTGCCAGGGCTGCACTCAGGGAGGAGGGGACTCCAGGGCATCAAGTTAACAATTGTCATGGAACTTGAAAAAAATTTATTGGGTTAACCCAGTGCATGCTTCCTGAGTGTCCGTCCTGACTATATTTACACTTCACAAAGCATTTCCTAGAGACAATTATTAAAACTTTGTAGCAATCCTGTGAGATCAGAAGAGCAAGTATTATTTATTCCCATTTCAGTGATAAAGATCCATGACTCAGAAAGGGATTCCCAAAGGTTATAGAGCTAAAAATCATATGGAATCAGATCTCATACCCTGGTGGATGACTCTAAATCCAATGATAAAAATCCTCTATGTGACGTTGTAGTTTTTCTTCAGTATCTCAGTTCCCAAGCAGAAAAACAGTATTAAAATAAACTATAATGAGACAATGAAAATCTCCCTGGTTAATAGAAAGTATAGACGTGACCCTAAGCAGAATCAATATTGCAATTTTTGAAAGATCTTTTGGGTAAAGCCATCCCGTGTGTTCAGATGAGGATAAAGATTCCATGTTTCTGGTGGCTGTTCACTCCCCCAAGTGAAAGACTACTGTAGACAGGACACTCAGTTCCAGTTCTAGCACTTACACCAAAACCTAGAGAAGGTATGGGGAATTTCTATTCCCCCTTTGAGGGTTAGTGGGTTCTCTATATTTAAAATGGTATTAGATAAGAGTCCAAGTACTCACCCTCTTAACAACTTCAACACAGTAGAGATTTAAAATTCAATAACTACTATCAGGAGCTCAGGTAATAAGGGATACTTATTAAGGAAGTGGCAGAATCTCTAAAGGGCTTGCATGTGGTTTGAGCAAACCAACTACTGATTGCTAATCATATGATTATGTTTCCTAATCATAATAATAGATAATAGTTAACAAGTGCTTGGTATGTGACATTGTGCTAACTAAATTAATAAAGTCAGATATATTCGCTATTCTATTCATAAAGATGAGGAAGCTCAAGCTCAGACAGGTTAAGTAACTCACTCAAGGTGATACAGCAAAGAAGTCATAGCGTAGGATTCGAATTCACATATAATTGACCCAGAGCTTGTCCATGTATTCTCATCTGATGTTGTCCCTAAAACACACAATTACAATGAAAGAACTAGTAAGTTTCTCTAGTTCTTCCCATGTCTAAGATTCATGTCCTTGATTTAATGCTCTTGCTCAGATTAGCTGAGGGTAGATTCAGGGATAGGAAGAAGGGTGTGGAAGGAGGAAGTAAATTTGAATTCACTGAGTAGCTGCTTTTCTGCTCATCCCTTGCTAGACATTTTATATGCACCCACCATCAGTTTTCCATCCTCACAACCACTCTTACAAGATTGGTGTTTTAAACCTTTTTTTTAATTTGAGATACAAATAACAAATAGCATTCTATTTTCAGCATAGTGCTTTGATATTTGTTTGCATTATCCCTGTTTGCAGAGAGACTCAAAGAAGTTTAGACACTAGTCCAAGGTCACAGAGACCATAAATAGCACATTCAGACCATTTCTTTTGACTTCATATACCATTAAACCTTTAAATGATTCGAATAGCCTGGAGGATGACAGGAAATGAATGAGACAGGATGAAATTTTTGCCAAGTCAACACACACATCATGTCACAGCCTGAGTAGCCAGGGCAGCCCCTGCACCTCTGTTTAAGGACTTCCGCCCTCCCTGTCTCACTGTGCTCATGCGTGTCCTTCTTGCAGACTTGCAGTGGTTCAACGGGAGCGAGCAACAGCAGCATGTGGAGTGAATTCTTCCTTATGGGCCTCACGGATGACCCTCAGCTCCAGCCCCAACTCTTTGTCCTCTTCTTCTTCATCTACGCCTTCACGGTGGTGGGAAACCTGGGCCTGGTTGCCCTCATAATGGTTAGCCCGAAACTCCACACTCCCATGTACTACTTCCTCAGAAACCTGTCCTTTCTTGACTTCTGTTATTCTTCGGTCACAGTCCCCAAAATGTTGATGGGGTTCTTCTCTGAGTGCCAAAGCATCTCCTTCTCTGGTTGTGTGATGCAGAATTCTTTCTTTCTTATATTTGGAGTCACTGAGTTCTTCATCCTGGCCTCCATGGCCTATGACCGCTATGTGGCTGTCTGCAACCCTCTGCTCTACCACATTACCATGTCCCCAAGACTCTGCTTGAAGCTAGTGCTTGCCAGCTATGCAGTGGGCCTGATGAACACGGTGATTCTCACGACCACAGTTTTTCATCTGATCTTCTGTAAGTCCCGTGTCATCACCCACTACTTCTGTGATATTCTTCCCCTTTTAAAACTCTCTTGCTCTGACACACAGATCGTGCAATTTATCATCTTTGCCTGTGGTGGCTTTAATGTGTCTGCATCCTTGGCCGTCATTCTGGTTTCCTACACATATGTCTTCCTGGCTATTTTCAGAATCCCCTCTGCCACAGGCAAACACAAAACATTCTCCACGTGTGCTTCCCACCTGACTGCTGTCAGTCTGTACTATGCAACCACAGTGTTCGTCTACTTGCGTCCATCCACTGAGTACTCAGGAAGTAAGGGCAGTCTGGTTTCTGTCTTCTACACGGTGGTCATCCCCATGCTCAACCCAATTATCTACAGTCTCAGGAACAAAGATGTAAAGGAAACATTTAGGAACATCTTCAAGAGGACCCCTCAATTCTCTCTCCCCTTACCCAGATTTTCATGATGTCCAAAGGAAGGCAAGGAGAGGGAGTGGATATATTTTGAACCATTGACCATTTCTCAGATAATGTTATAGAACTGTCAGCATATTATGTCTTCAATCCTCCTCGCTATTCTGGAAGTTAAGTATTATATTTACATTTTATAGGTGGAATAGCTGAGATTCTCAGAGGCTTGTTGCGTAGGGAAGGTCACATAGACTGTAAGCAGAGGAACTTGGATATCAATTCAGGACTGTTTGATACTAAAACTCCATTCCCACTAAGTTCCACTCTTTTAGCACAAGGGAAGATACTACCTTCTCTCTTTTTCTCCCCACATCCAGGTTTTCTGGTCATTTTTCCTCCTTGGAAATTCATGTCTTTCAAATATAGAATAAATTAAGCCTCTGAAGATGCACAATGAAGCCTCTACTTGTGACTTTGGACTATGTGTAATCAGGTCAATAAATTAATCTGTAACTTATTGTTTATAGCCCTTTACTGGAGAAGTGGTGGCGAGGGACCCCAAGGACAAAAGCTATGCTCACTCCCTTTTGTCAGTTTCCAACTCAGTAAGGAAGACAGAAGAATCCCACCCAAAACACAACAAACTGTGACTTTTTCATTAAATTGACATTTATTGAGTGATTTCTATGTGCTAAATCCTAAATTGCTTGCCTCGTAATCCTCCCCAAAAACTCTGTGAGGTCAGTACTATTGCTCCCATTTTACAGATGAGAACAATAGAGCTACAAAGAGTTAATTGAGTCATTCCAGGTCAGACAACAAATAGTGAATGCAGGATTTGATTCCTCACGTTTTTTGAAAGATCTTAGGTTATTTCCACTCTCATATATCAACTGCTGAATTTCCTACTGAAAATCTTGTCAACCTACAGCAAAGAATTTAGGCAGTGAGGCTGGATCTCAGTGTAAGGCAAGCAGTATAGATGAGGTTCATCAGAGAACATCTAGGAAGGGACAAGTGAGTTGAATAAAGGCTGTTAAGGGTGAGAAGTAGGAGCAACGAGTGAACACTGGAAGTAATGAGGGGAACTGAAGTTCGAAGTCTGAGATAGAATCATCTAGATGCATAGGGCTCTGGTTTGGCTGCAGCAGGGTGGCAAATTTGGAAGCAAAAGACAAATGGGGAGATGGTAGCACAGCAAAAAAAAAAAAAAATTAAGGAAATGGGGACACGATTAGGTAGGGCTGATGGACCTTCTTTGCACACCTCTCACTAAATCTAAGCAATGCCCTACCACCATGTGTCGAAAAAATCTAGAAATCTGTTTTCCCTAATTGACCCAAAATAGCTTTTGGGTATATATGCCTGCTTAGACTTGTGGAGACCAAGACTTCCATAAGACTTTACCCTGTTGTCTGTCTATGCTCTATACTCTTCAGAGTGACCAGATGATGGATGAATTTGAGTCCTCTTTCTGAAGGGATCACTGGGATTACTTCTTAACTCAGAATGTGTGCCTAGACCAGGCTTTTTTTGCATTCCATCTTTTGGACTGTTGTTGTAAACTCCTAACCAGTCTCACTGCCTTCAGGCTTGCCCCTGACCAATTCCCCTCCCCATACTGCTGCCTTATGATTATTCTAAACAGAAGCTTGACCCAATCACTGCTTGACCCCCATCATTGTGCTTGACCCACAGTACTTTACACTCTTCACTGCTTCTCATTGACCCCGGAATAAATACCAAGTCCCTTAATTTACAAAGTCTCCACAATCAGAATCTCACCTTTCAAGCCTTATCTGTCAGAACTTCTGTACCTTTACCCACCTCATATCTTCCCCTTAGCACTCAGGTCCTCATCCTCATGCCTTCACTGTTCATCAATGAAGATTTCTCACTCATCTTTGTCGTCATGATCTGCTCCCGAGCTAACAGGAAGTGTTCACTGTTTTCTTGGAAGTTTAGTGCCAGCGATTGAAGCATACACTCATCTTATACTCCTGGACTGCCTTATTCCATTTCACATTTCTTATGCCCATTTGTTTCTTCTCTATTAGACTGTATGCCATGGAGGGCAGGACAAAGTGTCTCAGAGCTACGTAACTACTTTACTGGTGGGATACATCGCCTTCAATAAATGTCCTTGGAAGAATAATGAACCACATGTCCTGTGTCCTTGGTTTCTGCCCTGGGTATCTTGTCCACTTCTGAACCCACTGAAACGTCCACAGCCTTAAGACTAATCCACCTCCCCCAGCAAGGCTTGGGCTTACTAGTATTACCCTGATGTACAAGAGTAGTAATGACCAGCACCTCTGGGTTAGTGAGTACCTACACCCCCAATGCCTGTTTTTTTTTCTTAACACAATAGCTCATCTCATTTATAGGCAAGAAACTGAGGCTCTGAAAGATGCAGCAATTTGACAGAAGAACAAGAAAAAATCTGTTTTCATTCAGAAATTAAGAACACACCACTCTCAGGAACTGAAGAAGCAGTTTCTTAAGAATATATAATATTAAATAATAGAATTATGAAATTTGAGCTAACACGCACATATACATATTGAATCCTAGGCCAAGGAAATATAGGATAGACATTCTTTTCCATCATATTTGAAGCATTTGCGTAATGATAATACAAGTCAAATAAATCTCCATAATTTTTTTCTTTTTATTTACATATTTTACATCATTGTTCATTTTTAAACAATGTTTTCTTCCCTTACCCCCTTCAGTTATACTGATTTAATTATGCACCATGTATATTATGAATTGCAATTAATGTAAATTATGAATTCTCATTAAGCTTAGTTTTTTTGAAAAAATTCATGAGTTGAAAAATAAAGACCTGACACCTCATGTGATCTTTAGGGTGGTATTCTTTGCGTATTGCAGATAACATAGCATTTATTGGATTTTCTTTAATAAGACTTCATGTTGAGCCTTACTGAAGAGCAAGCTGGCAATTAGAAAGGAGATGCCACTTTGGTGAGCTGTCCAGTTGAAAGATTTTTGTTTTTTGTCCCTTAATGCCAAGAGCTATCTCCCAGATGTCTTTACCTCTCCCACTATACATAGCACAGACCCTTGCATGTGTTTGTAAGTCATCCTCATAGGTTTGCACTTTCTTTGTGCAATTAACTTTCATAAATATAACTAAAATTCACTGCAAATATAAAGCATTTCAGGTACGTTGTACTTTATTTTATTATTTTTTAAATATCTTTTTAAATTTTGTCTTATTGTGTAAATTGTAGAAGAACTGGGGTATAGGTCAGAGGTGTGAGGGGGAGATGATTCAACAGAGACAGAGTGGGGAGCAGAATAGGCGGAGCTACTGAAATACACTGCTGAGGGGAGCAGCGGGTGAGACAGGATAGATCTGCTGCACCATGTCGGTTAGCTCCCTGGGCAAGGATTGAACTCAGGCCATAGCAGTGATAAGGTTGAAACTTAACTCCTAGGCCACTGTGGAGGCCACCTCAAGTACTTGCACTTTAAATAGACTGCTTCAGGATGCCCAGTGGTCTGGGGCAGCTGTTGTTACTATGGGACATGAGGCCAACATCAAATGACCAAGTTCCATGTGAACTTCCAGGTTATGATCTAATTAATATGCTTGTGAATACTTTGAAAAATTGTTTTCTTCTACATATTACCTTTGATAAAGTAGAATGATGATAAGGGGAGTAGATCTTAGTGATAATGGCAATGAATTCACTATTGCCTGAAGCCATTGCCTCTTCCCATTTCAATGACCTCCATTCTCTCCTAAATTGAAGCAACAGCCTCCTCACTGGACTTCTTACTTCAGTCTTTTTCTTTACCTCTAACTTAGCTTTTGCGTGGCTAACCAAAGTATATAGCTTTCAAAGACACAAACATATATGCCAATCCCCACTAAAAAGTCCTTTAATGGCTTCTCCTTGACCCCCAGATAAAGGCCATACTCCTTAGGATGGAAATCCAGGCGCTCATCTTTTGTGTCTGCCATTTCTCTGGCCTCCTCTACTGTCATGCCTTAGTGAATATTCCCTCTGACTGAAACTTTTTCTACCCCTTATTGATTTGAAAGACTTCTATTCATCCTTCAAAACCTTACATATTATTAAGATTAATGAAATAATCCATGAAATGAGCTTTGGAAATAATAAACTACAAACATCCAACACAGACAACAGATCCTCCAGTAGACCTTTACTCTTACTACTTCCCCTCCAAAAAGATCCGAAAACTCCATCTCTGTGCTATATCTACTTGCTCCAGAGTCCTGTGTTGTGTTTATCTTGTTGCAATTCCTTTGCTTAATTTATATGTCTGACACTTCCACCAGTCATTGAGCTCAGACCTCATGTATTCATCTTTCCATCCTTTCTTCAGCTCCATATTCCCAGCATTCATATTTTAAAAAAATTGTGATTGAGAATGTTTAATATGACTAATAATGTATTTCAGATAAAAAGCTTGTAACATAATACATATCCTATTCAATTCATTTCTCCCAACTGTTTGCAAAACATCTCAGTACTGACTACATTTCCCCTAACTCTCAGTATATGTCAGTGAAAACATCCCATTGGGGCTGGCTCTGCTCAATGCTCCAGCCATCTCGGACATCACAGCTGCTTAGTCCCTGGTCTTACTGTTCTCAGCATCTCAGGAGACAAGTCAAGAAGACAGAAACTTTGCTAAATTAATGATTCTGCCAATTAGACAGACCTGGCCAAGCCCAAGAAGTGAGGGGAGGCATATAACTAGAAGCTTAGTTCCAGAGTCTTTAGTGTTATGGACACATGAACTTTTCTTGCACAGCAAAGAACATCTGAAGGAGCCAACCACCAATGCTGGTCTGAAGCATTTTGGATGAATTCAGAAACAAAAAAGTGGCTGGTGAATACTCCTGACATCTAGAGACATTCAGAGAAGAAAGGTGGGTGATCATGGACAGGGGTGTGTGTAGATGGAGGTTATAAAGTTCCATATAACCAGTCATCCTTAGTTAGCCACTACTTGGGCTAGACTTCCAACGGGAGCAGCAGCCCTGGGTAGAAATTAGGAGACCCAGGTACTATTCCGTCAGTATTGCTGAGCATTTTTGTGTATCCTGGATCTTTGTATGACTAGCTCCTCTCCAAGCAGATTCCAGCCCTCAATGTCAAGTCTTCAGAAAGGATTTCCCTTCATGCTACCCAATGTTGCCACTCCAAACCCTCAGTCTTTCTATTCCATTAGTTTGTTTTATTTTCTTCAATATTATTTTTATTTTATTTATTAAAAGTTTTATTCGTTTGTTTGCTTTCCATGTCTTCCTTTATATTGCAAAGTTTATGAAAGTACCCCTAGTGCCTAGCACATTACCTGGAACACCCCAAAAACCCAATGAGTATTAGCTGAATGAATGAAGGCTTGCATGCCCAAGAACAAGGGACCTCTCTCTTCCATAGCTCTCAATTCCTCATGTGTAAAATTGAGAGAAACTATCTGAATTATTTCTAAGATTAGTGCAATAATAAGGAAAGGATAGATTTGCAAATGCCCTGAAAAAACCTTTAAAATAATCATTAATTATATGACTATATTTTGAAATGACAGCATGGATACAGCAGTAGCTTTAGAATATTGCAAATCTCTATTTCAATGTAGATTCTGCACTGGAATAGCTATGAGACCTTGAGCAAGCATTGGAATGCTCCAAGCTTTGACTACCTTGCTGCAAGGCAATAATAATTGTAGTTGGTACTGATGTCCCTATATCTGATAATGATAATATTCATTTTTCATTACAATAGATGATACTTCCCAGTGGAGAGGAAATAAAATGCTTTATATCAATCACCCAACAAAATGTGTAGCATTTATTAGGTACCTTATTGTTGGTAACTAGTAATATATTAGGATAATATTAAGAGTTTTTACAAACAGTACTGTATGTTGTGGAAATTTCAGTTTCCAAAAGATGATCAGTAAGGTGTCTTTAATAGAACACCAACCAGAAGCAGAGAGCCACATCCTCAGAGTAACGTAGGGCACTGGGCATTTACTTCAGTTTGCCTCATACTAATCTAGTTTTCTCTTCTAGGTTCTGTCTCGACACCCACAAGGAGATGGAGACCAGTGTTGGGAAAGTCAAGGTGGGCTGGCAGGTGCCAGGGCTGCACTCAGAGAGGAGGGGGCTCCAGGGCAGCAATTTAACAATTATTATTGAACTTTGAAAAATTTATTGGGCTCGCACAGTGAATGCTTCCTGAGTATCCGCCCTCACTATTTACAATTTACAATGTATTTCCTGGAGACAATTATTAGACTTTTGCAGCAATCCTGTGAGATCAGATGAGTTTTATTTATTCCAATTTCTCTGATGAAGATCCAGGACTCTGAATGGACTTCCTAAAGGCTATAGTGCTAAAATACGTATGGAATCAGAACTCATACCCTGGGGGATGATTATATCCAATGATACAAATCCTCTATGTGAAGC